GAAACGGCCCTGCTCAGAGGATCAAGACCCCTCCTCCTCCCCCTCCTAAGTCCCAAAGTGGTTTATCTATTTTACTGTTTCCGCTCATCAAAATATACTATTTACATTCCCCTCCACAAAATATAGTCCCTATTATATATTTCAAATATTTTTACAATTATATTTATTTATATCAATATTATTAAATTAAATTAAAATGATAAAAAAAGTCTGTACAAACATAAATATTCACCAACTATCATTTAAATACCACTTCATATCATTTAAAATTATGTCGATTTGATTATACATTAATTTTAAGAAAATTTGATATAAATTTAGATGACAGAAAATGTGAGACAACAACCTTACCGTCAAACCATCACGTCATAACTTAGGGTGTGTTTATTTTGTGAAAATAGTTTGAAGAAATATTTTTTTATATGAAATATAGGGAATTACATAAAAAAAAAAATATATAAAAATAAGTAAAGTATGATATATTATAAGTACATAAAATAACATTGAGAATATTTGAATATATTTTAAGAGTATATCAAATTTACAATACAAAGATTAACAGATAACTATGAAATGAAGACCCATACTAATTAAATAGATAAAAGAAAAAATACAAATCTAAGTATTTTTATAATAAGAAATAAATTGAAACTAAATATGAGTGAAAAAGAGTTCTCTACAACTCTCCCGTTATACTTTTTACTTCTCATATAACATATAATACTTCTTCCGTCCCAAATATCGTGCAATATTTTTTTTGGTATATCAACACCCTGCAATATTTCCAAAATAGTAAATAATTAATTATACTTAATCTCTACCCTACACTTTATCCCCTTACATCATCCAAATAAAAAAATAAAATATATATTTCTCTATCCATCGCATCACCTAATTTCTAAATTATCATACTTAATACTACCCACCTAAAAATTCGTGCCAAAAGCAAATATTGCACCTGGTTTTGAAGGGAGGGAGTCCTATTTATTTTATTATTAATAATTTTCATTTTGTACTGCACATTTAAAATGTGTTTGTTTGGGGGATTGGATTGGATTTACATTATTCATCCAATTTTTTTTCCTCTAAAAACATCAAATCAAACACATAGTTTTCATTTTTTATATTATACTAAAAATCAATTTTACATTCAAAACATCACATCAATACTTATTTATATCAGATCATACAACTATTCAAATTCAAAATTTTTATTATTCAAATATCAACTCAAAATCCAAACACCCGAACAAACACTCCCTTACTGCTAACGAGAATTGGGTGAATTTTGTCTAAATTCAAACCCATCCTATTAAGTAGGCAATTAAGGCTAGTAACTAGACATAATATGTTATTAATGAAGATTCCGAGGTTCTCTGCGCTGCGTTTGATCTGAGCTTTATATTGTCCACTAATTTATTTTAAAAAATATTTTTGTCGCCCACCTCTATGTTCAAAGTTTTATATATATATTTTTTTATATTTTGGTAAAAGGCAAAGATATAATTAATATTATTTACTTTTATTAAATTTCAGATCTAAATATTTAATCACATATTTCATATACTTATTTCGTCTGTTTTTAAGAGTTACAATATCTTTTACTATTTAATATTAAAAATATTTTTATATTTGTATAATTTTTTTATACAAATATCATTTTATTAGTATTATAACACACTAATTGAAGTACTTTTTGCATTTTTTTCTTAGTTTGTACTACGTTTTGATATAATAAATAATATTCAAATATCAACCCACGGTTAGAAATTTTGGGGAAAATAATGAGATTGTCTTATTGATTATCAAAATAAGGAGCCTGTATATAGACAATACAAAATAGACTCAATAGACTCAAATCTAAGTAATCTAATCTATAAATAAGATCAAATCTACATATAAATCTAAAATTGAATATCTAAAATATCTCAACATTCCCTTTCAAATTCAAGTGGTATAACAAAAACCAACTTGAGTTTGATGAGAAATTTGAATATAAACGCAAAAAGAAAACATTAATAAAATTAGCAGTTGACTCTCTACCCACCGGAGTAAAAAATGAGATGACTCTCCATCGGAGTCGAAAACGAGATGCCTCTCCACCAGAGCAAAAAATGAGATGACTCCACCGGAGCCGAAAACCACATGACTCCACCGGAGCTGTCGAAAACGAGATGACTCCACCGGAGCCGAAAACGATATGACTCTACCGGAGCCAAAAAACGACAGGACTCCACCAGAGCTGAAAACGAGCCGAAAACGAGATGACTCCACCGGAGCCGAAAACGACATGACTCCACCAGAGCTGAAAACGACATGACTCTACCGGAGCCGAAAACGACATGACTCCACCGGAGCTAAAAATGAGATGACTCCACTGGAGCCGAAAACGATATGACTTCACCGGAGCCGAAAATGACATGACTCTACCGGAGCCGTCGAAAACGAGATGACTCCACCGGAGCCGAAAACGACATGACTCTACCGGAGCCGTCGAAAACGAGATGACTCCACCGGAGCCAAAAACGACATGACTCTATCGGAGCCGTCGAAAATGAGAAGACTCTCCACCGGAGTTGAAAACGATATGACCACCAGAGCCGAAAACAAATAAATCGCAAACATCGGACAGATCAGATCTCATGCAGGCAACAGATAAACAACGGACAGATGGCAGATCATAGACAGATTTTCGCCAACAAATAAGCAACGAAAGATGACAGATCGCATGCAGGCAACAGACAGGCAACGACAAATGGCAGATCGCACGCAGCAACAGACATGCAACGACAGATAGAAGATTGCACGCAACAACAGATGACAAATCGCACGCAGCAATAGACAACAACGGACATATGGCAAATCGTTTCAGATCACTCGCAGGCAACAGACAAACAGCGAAGATATCAGATTGCACACAGGCAACAGACAAGCAGCAGACATATGGCAGATCGGAGACGAGATGAGACAAATTTGCAAAAATACAACTTGCAAAGACATTAACTCAAAATCACATGACCTCCGGGTACAATCCAAGTTGAATGTACCCGGAGAAACACTGGTTGGTAGGCTATATCTACAGCATGAGAAAAATAGGCTCTGATATCATGTTAGAAATTTTGGGGAAAATAATGAGATTGCCTTATTGATTATCAAAATAAGGAGCCTGTATATAGACAATACAAAATAGACTCGATAGACTCAAATCTAAGTAATCTAATATATGAATAAGATCAAATCTACATATAAATTTAAAACTGAATATCTAAAATATCTCAACATAGACAAATAACATAAAATATTTCTATAAGTTTATAAAAATGGTACGAAATCCTTATTGTTTAAAATTTTTTTTTTTTTTTGTTCCATTACAAATGATTTTTTTTTTTGTCAGTCTCATACAAGATGATCAATTTTTATTTTTATTTTTGGTACTTTATCAACTTTAAACACATTTAACAAATTTAAATTAATTTAATTAAATTTCTAACCTCTTATAGGTAAGACACACTCAAAACTATTTTATTTTTATCTCTCTTCTTCGACTAATTATAGTTTTTATTTATTTGTATTTTATAAAATTTTATTCTCTACGAAATAATACTATTTTATTGAGATATAGTATTAAAAATATTTAAACACATATTTAAAAATTTTGTTTAATCATATATATTATTAAAATATATTTTTATTACACACAATTATTAAATAATTAATTTATACTATCTAAATTACCCAAACGAAAAATGTCATCTTTTGTGGGCTAAGAAAGAATTAGATTTTCATATAGAATTCTTGCCTTTAATTTCCATTCATCTATATACATTCTAACTATGAAGATAATTCAAAAATTTTATAACTACAAAATCGTCATTAAAAAAATGACAAAAGAGAGATTAACACAACTTTTGATGTATTTTTAAAACAATGGAGAATTTTAAACAACTTTTATAAATTACATGAATTTAATTTATTTATTTATTTATCATTATTATTATTATTATTATTATTATTATTATACCAAATAATAATAGTAATAAATAATAACAGCAGCAGCAATAGTTATAGGCTTATAGCTGCAGGACGGAGCTAGCCAAGCTAAGCTAAGCTAAGAGGCAAAAGATGTAGTAGGCTCAACCTATTCAATTAATGCTAAAACTAAACTAATTTAAATGAAAATCATCCTACAATGTAAGAGACTTTTAAAGAATCGATTAGTTCGCGAGCCAAACTCGACTCGGCTTGTTTATAGAGATAAACGAGCCGAGATCGAGCTCGAAAATTAATTTTTTTACAAACGAGCTCAGCTCGCGAGTAGTTCAATTGAGCTCATTAATGATAATATATCTATATTATTTATATATTAATATAATATATACAATTTTTTATATCGAAATTGATATTTACTATTAAAATTTGAATATTTTATTATAAAAAAAATTATGAATAAAGTTAAATATATTTAATTTATATATTTAAAAATATATAGAATATGTATAACATTCAAACAGAGCTACGAGCCGAGCTCGAGCTTGAATTTGAGCCTAACGAACCGAGCTCAAAGCACTATTTTGGCTCGAACTGTTAACGAGCCGAGCCTATACCGTTAACAAGTTCGAGTTGAGCTCGAACAACCAATACTCGAGCTCGCTCGACTCGTTTAACTGCTCTACTACAATGTAAGGAATAACTTAGTGGTATGCGCGTGAACTCGTGATTCAAGGGTGGGCTTCGGTAACGACTACGACTTCTCACGTCATAAAAAAAAAAAAAAAAAAAAAAAAAATCATCTCACAACCAAAATAAAAATCAAAGTAGAGTGACCATTTGTAATTATTATTACTACTCATTATTTGGCTACATAATCTCACAATTTTCCATAATAAAGAAATAGTAATAATAAGATTATGTTTAATTAACATATTCTTGGAACAAAATATCATTTTAGGTAATTATTTTTACTTATAAACATCAAAACTCAAAAGATAATAGCACGCAAATACACCAAAAGATAAAGAGCTTTTATGAATGTCTAAGCCGGTGTTATTTACATTTAAGCAGTGGCTTCAAAACAACTCTTTCTCTTTTTCTTCGTCTTCCTCCTCATAGTTTACTATATACACAAATATCATATCAAATATTCATAATACATTAAGAATAAAGCATCCGGAGAATCCTTAGGCAAGTTTCTAATATAAAGGTAGAATCGGCGTAGATCCTCCGCGAATGCAGCCTCCCGGTCGACCACCTCGTCCTTGCTCATCAGAACCCACAGGTCTCTCGATTTCACTCTTTTGAGACTGCCCCGGCAAAATGGGCACGACTCCGATCTAACACTCCTGAAAGTTAATTAAAGAATGAACACGGCAAATGATTGATTTTTGTAAGAATATACTACCTCCGTCCGACTTTAAGAGTTTCATTTACTTTTTGCATGTTGATTTTTGAATATTAATTATTATATGAAAGCGTAGTACAAATTAAGAGAAAATAATAAAAATACTTCTATTAGTGTCTTATAATACTATTATAATGACATTTGTACAAAAAATTATACAAATATAAGGATATTTTTAATGTTAAGTAAAATGACAGAAAAGATAGATGAGACTCTTAGAGCCGAACGGAGAGAATATAATATGTAAGCTGTTCAACGAACTAAGTCGTTCATGAACTTGGCTTAATTCAGCTCAATTTAACCTCGTTCGCGAACGCAAATCAACCGAGCTGAACAATATAAATAGACTCGATTTGTTATCGAACAAATCCGAGCTTTGTTCGCGAATGTTTGTTAAAATGACATATTTGTAATATATATACGAAATTATTAATTAAAATAAAATAAAATAAAATATTATATATATAATTTTGTTCGGTTCAATTCTTTAACAAACACTACAAAAAAATAGTATATTTGTAACGAAATTTTGTTCCTAAGGTTCACATAGCTAATGTAATTTCATTCTTAATTTCGTCTCTAGTGTCATTACTAACGGAAAAAGTAGATTTAAGGATAAAAAAATCTCATTACAAAAATAATATTTTCTTACAGTGAAACGAACACAAATACTTAAAATTTTATTCAGTTCAGCTCTTTAACAACTCTAATTAATGTGAAGTTAATGATACATATTCTTATATTAGCTTAAAATTTTAGTTGAAATGGTCATTTAAAAACGATGAAGACACATTTACGCATGTATTGATAATATTTACCAGTCTCGATAACAGTTTATGCACATTGCATGGCAGCAATTCGGCACGACCATTTTGGCGCACGGCTCTAAGCATATCCCACATTCATCATCTCTATCCGACTCCATATTTGCGTGCTTACCCTCTCGATCCGGTCTCTTGCTAATACTTTTCAGGAGAAGATTCTTTTGGTTGTCCTGCTGCTGCTTTGTTGAGTCGAGATGGAGCTGCTTGAGTGACGGCAATATAATAGCTGAAAGTTTTGAATGCCCAATAAGATATATATATATATTTTTCCATAAATTCGGCGACAAACAAACAAATGAACTGAACAGACAAACCGTAAAAGTCTTTAATGGATGCCTTCCTTCCATGGGTCGACATTTTCGGCCTTCCATCAGCATATACCTGCCAAACGAATCAGAACCAGGAAAAAAAACCGAAAATGGCGGTGTTATCCATAATGCAGCTGCGCAAGCATGGGTAGACCAAATTCAGCTCACCTTGTAAATGAGCACGTGAAAGAAGTTGAAATATCTCGGCATAAAACATGTGCAAGAACAGTTGATCCACTGAAGGAAAAACATCAAGAACGGCGCCAAGTGATTGTAGACCAATTTCATTTGCAGACGTGTTCCTCCCTTACCCCTTGGAATTGCTGCGGCTCTAAAACAACAGAAAACGACAACTATGACATACAGTTGGATCTGTACACAAACCGGAAAAAACAGATGTAACAACTAAACAAAGACGTGGCCCGTGCCTTTCCGTTCACACGTATGTATCTAGATATATATATATATATATGCATACATATTGAGCAAGCCAAGCAATAGCATAGACTGTTTAAACTTTCAATCTAGCTTATAAAAGCAAATGTTTTAAGTTTGTTCTCTTTGTAGTTTTTTCCCTTTTTTTGACAAAATCTTTAATCTTCTCCAAACTGAACTACTATTTTAGCTCAAAAACATCGAAACCCAAAACACAGGTACATAAAACAACATACCAAAACACACAATTTCTCTTTCAACCATAATAATAACAATACAGTACTTCACACCCATATTGTGATGAATAGTTTACTTATCATCTATGAAAGAAGACAATCTTAAGGCAAAAAACTACCTGTGGCTGCACCTTTTCTTGACAAAATGAACACTCCTAGACACATAATTGATGATCGATTAATTTCCAAGACAGTCAAATGATAAATATCATGAGAGTTAAAAAGAAACCTGCAAATTAGAGAACCGATTTTCCTCTGGATTGTATTTGTATTGCCAATCTTGGAAGTAAGTAAATATGGACATTAATTTCTTATTGAACCAACCAACTACAATAGTTAAAATACTGAAAATTGAACCAACCAAACGATCGCAGGAATCGAAACTCACTCTGCTAATTTCACGATTATATATAGTAAAAAACACAATCCAAAAACCCTAACAGCAAAAGCGAAACCATTAATTTCAAATCATCCGATCCACCAAACACAATAAATAGCAACAGCACATGCAAGAATTTATCACAGGGACTAAATCTAAAACAAGCCCCCAACCAGAAGCAGCAAAACATTTGTCACTTACAAATCATTTGCATGCTCAATATCGGACTCCAAAACCTTGAGAGAGTCCTGGTAAGTGGTCCTGCCCAGCTGCTGATAGTAGAACATCATCTCCATCCCTATTCCAACTTCAATTCCTCACTCAATTGATTTCTGATAGCTCCTTTTTAATGATATATATGTGCAACAGTGCAAGTAGAGAACAGAACCCTCGCAACACCACGGCAGAGGAGAGCAGCAAGCAAAGTTCAAGCGAGCGAGAAGCACAAGGTGGACGCCTTTTTTCAGAACCCCCAAACTTCAGAAGACGACAAACAAGTTTTGCTGATAAATAAAAAGAAAGAAAGAGAAGAAAAGGCGAAACAGAATTTTATTCCCAACTCTTTTTTGATCCCTTGGCTTGCCTTCCTAAATTTGGTGCCACTTTTGTATTACTCCTCCTTCACTAAAGTCAAAATTACTTTTGCATTTTATTATATTTAATATTAAAAATATTTATATATATATTATAAATATCATTTTATTATATTATAAGACATTAATTCGATCTTTTCATAGTACATTAAAAAAATATTATCAAATTAAAAATAAAAAAAATGAATTCATCCTATTTATTTGATTTTATATTGAATTCTATTTTAAATAATAGTCGGGTAAAATATTTGAAGATTCATTTGTCTATTAAATTTGCGTTTAATTTTTTTTTTAATAAAAAATATATTATTATACATATATAATTTTTATTATAAAAACCAAAAAATAACCAAAAATATATATATATATATTTATACAAAAAATAATAATAATAATAATAATAATAATTGAGCATTTTTAGGTGATGGAATGAGTATTATTTTTATATAATAGTAAGAATTGTATTGTATAATAGAAAAAATAAAAACAATCACAAACTCCATGCTTTTGTTAATTATTATTATTATTATTACTTTTTGTAATGGAAGAAGATGATGAAAGTGGGGTTGGTTTTTGTTCGTAGTTGCAAAATGATGCAATAGGTATTGCGCGGTGTCATCATATGCTTCCGTTCTTCTTTGTCAGCAAATTGCTTAAGGGAATGATCATTGCATAGTCGTTAAGAATTTTAATCCAATTATGTATACAGGTGGATACGAATCCGATATAAATATTGAGATATTTTAGATATTCAGCTTTAGATTTAGTAGATTTATATATAAATTTGATCTTATTAATAGATTAGATTACTTAGATTTGAGTCTATAGAGTCTGTTTTGTATTGCCTATTTTGATGATCAATAAGACAATTTCATTATTTTCCCCCAAAATTTCTAACATGGTATCAGAGCCTATGTTTCTCATGACGTAGATATAGCCTACCAACCCCTATTTCTCCGGATACATTCAATCTGGATTGTACCCGGAGGTCTTGTGATTTTGAGTTAATGCCTTTGCAACTTGTCTTTTTGCAAATCTGTCTCATCTCGTTTTTTTGCTCTGGTGGAGTCATCTTATTTTCCGCAATGGTGGAGTCATCTCGTTTTCGGCTCCAGTTGAGTCATCTCGTTATTTGCTCATGTGGAGAGTCATCTCGTTTTCAACTCCGGTGAAGAGTCATCTCATTTTCGGCTCCGATGGAGTCATCTTGTTTTCGGCTCCGTTGAGTCATCTCATTTTTTGCTTCGGGGTGGAAAGTCATCATGTTTCCGGTTCCAATGGAAAGTGAACTATTATTTTTATTTATGTTTTTTTTTTTTGCGTTTATATTCAAATTTTTTATCAAACTCAAGTTGGTTTATATTATACCACTTGAGTTTGAGGGGGATGTTGAGATATTTTAGATATTCAGTTTTAGATTTAGTAGATTTAGATATAGATTTGATCTTATTTATAGATTAGATTACTTATATTCGAGTCTATCGAGTCTGTTTTGTATTGCCTGTATATAGACTCCTTATTTTGATGACCAATAAGACAATCTCATTATTTTCCCCCAAAATTTCTAACAATAAATAATTGGATTTGAGTTAAGAATTTTAATCCGATTATGTATACGGGTAAACACGAATCCGACACTGACATGAATCCGATATAAATAATTGGATTTGGGTTAAGAATTTTAATCCGATTATATATACGGGTTGATACGAATTCAATACGATAATAAATAAGTCTTAAGGCTCTCAATTCAAATCCGAAGCAGCAACCTGATTATAATATATTGATATTAATTAATATATTTATTATATATGTAAAATAATCATTGTTTAATAATTAGCCCATGTACTAATTTAAACGTTACTAACTTCACTTTTAAATAATTCAACATAATTCATTGTACACATTACACTAGAACCAACAAAAAATAACATAATACGACAACACATCAAAAAATAATTAAATTTGAATAAATGATTTCGACTTAATTATGTATATGTCAACACGAACCTAACACGATAATAAATGGGTCAATACAAACCCGACACTATAATAAACATGTCGGGTTATTGTTGAATTATTTAATTCGTTTAAAGTATTTAACTCGACACAAATCGACTCATTGTCAGCTTCAGTCAAACCCCCGGCCCCTACAGGTCTTGTTTATCCCACATAGTTCGCTTAGTGTGACTTGCTTTGTTGAATCTAGTTTGTAAACTATTAAATTCGGTCGAAAGTTTAGCTAGAGTAAACTCACTCCAATAGCGGCTCCGATTCCCACTTTGTAAAAGAAAAAATGATCATTGAATATGTGAATGGATTTTTTTAATCCATTGGAATTTGTCCAAAGACAAAAAGCAGCAGAAGATTGCCAATTTATTTGGTTATATTTTAAAATAATATAAATTTTGAATATAAATAATTATTTAATATAGTATATTAAATAAATGAAAAACAAATATTATCTTTAAAATAAATAATTAATAAAAAGGAAAAATTTATTTTTACTCCTACATATAATTACTTTCTCCTTCTGTCCGGTTTTAAAAGTCTCATTTATTTTTTGTATAATTGTATTTAACATTGAAAATATCTTTATATTTGTATAATTTTTTGTACAAATGTCATTATAATAGTATTATAAGACACTAATAAAAGTATTTTTGTTATTTTCTCTTAATTTGTATTACGTTTTCATATAATAATTAATATTCAAATATCAACAAACAAAAAGTAAATGACATCCTTATAGCCGGACGAAGGTAGTATTATTTTAGAAATATAAGTAGATAGTCTCATAATTTAAAAAAATTTGGCAAAAATAATGCTCCGTTCAACCAACGTTTTTAGATGAAATGATTTTTGGTGTGTGATACGGAAAATTGTGTCAAAAATATAAAATATTACCTCTGTCAATAGGAAGAGTAGTATGAGTTTTTGCATGTTGATATTTGAATATTAATTATTATATTAATACGAAGTACAAATAAAAAAAATAAAAAAATTCCTCTATTAGTTTCTTATATTACAAATACAATGACATTTGTGTAGTAAATTCTACCAATATAAAAATATTTTTAACATTAAATACAATTACACAAAAGACACGTGATGCTCTTTGTATGGGACAGAGGTAGTATATTATTTTAGGTTGAATATTTGAGTTTTTGACTTTTTATAATGAGTATTTGAAGTTTTTATTAACTTTTTGACTTTTGTATAAATTATTTTGTATTTATTAATATTATTTTCGAAGAATCGCAATTGAAAAATAGTGCTAAAAGAACAAAGTAAATTTTTAAATACCAAATTTGCTTATGCGGGAATATTGTGATATGCTAGAAAATACGTGTGAGTGAGAAATGTGAACATATTGGTGACCGTTAAATTTTTTTTTCCTTTTTTTAATCGACCAAATTATGAATTGCATATTAGTTTTATTGGATCAAAACTTGAACCAAAATAACCTCATTTGTAATTTCAAATTCATTTACCGATCTCTCAAATCTCCAAACATACTATGAACCATTAATAATAATTAATAATTCAGAACAAACTACTCACATAATGGAAAATTTCCAATATATTCCAATAAATATTATAATTAACGTAATTATTCTTGTTTGTTACTATAAAACTCTTTCATTGACTTATGCGGAAAAAAAAATAAAAAATGACAAGTGTCCATGCTCCTATTGACATCGTCCTATTGAATAATTACATAATAAATATATATTGCCAAACGAATTTTCAAATCTCATAAAAAATCGATACATCGCTTATCCCGATTTTCATGCAGTAAAATTGCAAAAATCTTAAAATGTAAGCACAGCTGAAGATGAAGTTATAAATGAATATTTGGTGATTAATCGAATTGTTCTTCCAAGATCAATGCGTCAACTTGTTTTTTATCATTGACAGGAGCAAAATAGAAACTGTAGAGAGATTATGAATCTATACGACACTCTATCTCGAGGACCTAACAGTAACCCTATTTATTTAGCGGAAACATAATTGTAATGAAAATTATGTCCACAACTTAATTAATATTATTATTTTATCACCCCCAAAATAAGAATAGTACACATGAGTATCTATACTTTCGTTCTACAATAATTACACACATCAGTCAATAACTAATTGTATTAATTAGATCAATTAAAATAATGTGATTAAAAAATAATGATTTCAACTAGATATTTATACACATATTTGATTCAAAATCTAACAATCTCTCACTGGATCTAATATGTATCCGAACACGTTCCTTGGGAGCTCAATTCACAATTATTAGAAAATAAAGACTGCAACAATATGGTTTATTAATCACAACAATATAGGAATAAAGCAACACATGTTATATCAACCACTATCAACCACTAAATTAACAGTAATTACTTATATCACTGCAATCAAATAACATAGATCAATCGTAGAACGTGTAGAAAGAAAATTATATGAATGTGATTAAGCATGTCGTTTTTTTACTGGTCCAAGCTTAATGAGATCTTTAATTACTTAAAAATTATATGAATGTTGTAATGCCCCGATTTCGGAATGTATAAAATAATATTATTATAGCAAATAAATATTTGACAATAGTAATGGAATCAAGAAATTAATATTCTGGGATAAATTTTATTCCTATTTTATATATTGATTATGATTGAAAAGACTGTTAAACGGATAAATATCGATAAAGATAAATATAAAATATATAATAATAATAATAATAATAATAATAAAGGTAATGATGATGAAGATAATAATAATAATAATAATAATAATATATATAATAATATAATTATATATATATATATATGAAACCAAACCAAACCAACCTGTGAAGGAAGGCCGAAGCAGAAGAACGCGAAGGAGAAAGAAGAGAAAGAAGAAAAGAAGAAAGAAAAGATTTAGCCGTTCGATTTCGATTCCGATTTCGGTATTGTATTCCTTGTTATACGTAGAATTTAATTATGGATTTTAATATGAATTTCAATATTGGAAATATTAAATTAGAAATTCTTTAAAAAATTCATAACCGGCTATTTGGCTATTTTATCGACGAATTTCTTTAGCTAATAGCCTATTCGTAGTCCTAGTATTATATTCTGAGAATTTCATATCGATCCGAGCTGAATTGAAAACGGCAGTATATCGCACCTGCCTGCTTGTTCATACCTTTGCGTATTTTTATTTAATAATCGGGCAATATAAATATTATGAGGTAGAAGGATTTTATAGCTAGAATATCATATTCTACTAAATATAAAAGTTTGGAGCCCGACGAGTTAATTATAGAAATTAGCTTTTGAATAAGCAGGTAGCTCTTGAGAATAAGCATAAAGCTCATCTGATTTGAGTAAATAATGGGACAGGTGTACGTTGGAGGAGATTTGGGTGAAGTTATAAAATCCAGAAAGTATCGGTAGGAGGTAAGCAGTAGGGAATTAAATCTAATTTTAAGAAATTAGGTATTTATGTTGCATGTGATTCTGATTCTGATATTGATATGATATTATGTGGAATCATTTGGTCAGTGCATCTATATATGTATATATGTGTGTGTATATGCATGTGTGAAACTTCGTTTTACGATATTTGATATACGTATTTGATCGTGTTGGTGAATTTATAAAAAGGAGGATAGGTGGGCCGTCTCACCAGCCCTTTTCATTAAATTCACTTATTGACATGCTGCACACATCGCACGATTTATCGGATATGTTTTATGGATCTATCGTTTAATCGCCGTGTGCGGTAGTGCTAGGCGAGGGCATCATCTGGGGTTAGGATATTCGACCCCGATGTACCGTAACACTTTGGCGATAGTGGACGATAGTAGTCGGACAACTGGGTGACTTAGTCGCACGGTCATTCAGGGATTAGACCCATTGCAGTTGAGACGTATTTGGTCTAATCATTCGTGTTCGGTGTTGTTCCACTCATTGGAGTAGCTACTAGTGAGGTCTACCGGTAGTTTAGGATCAGATGCCAAACTCCAAACGCGATCCCGTTAGGGCGTGCGAGGAGGAGTAGAGTTTCCGGGTTTCCTTCGGGTGATTCCAGGTTGCACGGATTCTACTACGTTACACGGGGTAGGGCTAGACAGGAGGGTCCTATCTTCGCTATCACAGACTATGGGGTGTCTTGTGGTTAATGGCGACAACGCTCGACTATCCATGTATTGATTGCGGGAGTCGTATGGTGGGTATATGGGAGTGACCGGGTGACCGTTATATTATTATGGGTTTACCAGGTCCTTCCTTGAGCCGAGGATTTTCCGGCTATTTATTGATGATAGTCTAGTGAGCTGTTATTATGGAGCCGAGGTTATTCCGGCTGCTCACTTTGACATATGTATATGGGTATATGTGCATGAGTTGTCGATTTTGACATTATTGTTACATTATTTCAGTATGGGCATGGCATGGCATTTATTTTGCAAATGACGGAAATTAAACTCTATTTTCGAGCATGACATGGCATATTTTATGTTAGTTCTTAAAATGGATTTAATTCTAGACTGCTTTTAAGAAAAATATTTGATTCAGGTACGCATGGCACCTCCGGGACAGGGGACGTCTCGGGAGATAGAAAGACGGGCTGAATGAGTGAACTGCATCTGATGTATTATATGTAAATTCTAACTAGAAAAACCTCCCGTTTTGGGAGTATGTTTTTGTAAATATTTATAAACTTGTTTTTTTGGGAATAATAAAATGCTTATATAATTAATTTTAGCCTTAACACTGTGTTGTGGGGCCCGAAGTAGGAGGTGACGACCTCATGATGCAGTGTGGCGGTAGCATTTCCAGTACGAGCCAACTGGGGGTGTTACAAGTTGGTATCAGAGCCTAGGTTTGATAGATTTTGGCTCTTTGAATTAAAAAGGTTTTGAAAATAATAATGATATTGAATTGGTTTGGTGAGGTTTGGGTTTTGCGGGTGCATTCATGTTAATGTGATCTATCTTTTATTGTTATGCTTGGTTTAGCTGTGTGCTGAATTGATATTGAATCAGGAAAAATTGGGGGCAGTATCTCGAATTCTCGAGGTGGTGGTGTACGTAGGGCTATTCAAGGCCCAGAGTTTGATCCTTCGTCTGATGAGTCACAGTATCCTGTGCCAGCGCATGTACCAACAGAGGCACCTAGTCAGGATTTCTTTCGGCAGTTTATGGCCGCGATGATGCCTCAACAGAGGAGTTTCATTGATGCTGTGATGCGGCATAACCCACCAACATATTCTGGTTCAGTGGAGCCAGGAGTCCTTGAGTTTTGGGTTGAAAAGATGGAAAAGATATTTCGTGTTGTTCAGGTTCCGCCAGATCAACGAGTTAATATTGGAGCCTATTTCTTGGAAGGCCGAGCAAATCGGTGGTGGTTAGGTGAAGAAGCTGCAGGTGTAGACCAAGTGGATATGACTTGGGATGAATTTAAAGCAAAGTCACGGTGAAGAACAAATATCCTCTTCCGAGGATTGATGATCTATTTGATCAACTGAGAGGTGCAACTATATTCTCAAAGATTGACTTGAGATCTGGATATCATCAGCTAAGGATTGCAGAGCATGACATTCCGAAGACAGCTTTTCGGACTAGATACGGGCATTATGAATTCACGGTTATGTCCTTTGGGTTGACTAACGCCCCGGCTGCGTTTATGGAGTTGATGAATAGAATTTTTCAACCATACCTCGATCAGTTTGTGGTGGTATTTATTGACGATATCTTGGTCTATTCCCCAGATAAAAAGACGCATGCAAAACATTTGCATGTAATATTAAACATATTGCGTGCAAGAAAGTTATATGCCAAGTTATCCAAATGCGAGTTTTGGTTGAAGGAGGTTGCTTTCTTGGGGCATGTTGTTTCTGGAAAGGGTATCTCAGTAGATCCTTCTAAAGTGGCGGCAATCTTGGATTGGCCAATACCTACCAATCAATCAGAAGTAAGAAGCTTTTTGGGTTTGGCAGGATATTATCGGCGATTCGTTCTTGATTTTTCGAAGGTTGCAAAACCATTAACTAATTTGCTGAAAAAGGATGCAAAGATTAACTGGGATCACGAGTGTGAGTCATCCTTTTTAGAATTGAAACATCGATTAACTTCAGCGCCAATTTTGGCTTTACCAGTGGAAGGTGAGGAGTTTGAAGTGTATAGTGATGCTTCGAAGCAGGGATTGGGATGTGTCTTAATGCAGAATCAAAGAGTTATTGCTTATGCATCACGACAACTAAAACCTCACGAAGAGAATTATCCGACACACGACTTGGAAATGGCAGCAGTGGTGTTTGCTTTGAAGATTTGGAGACACTATCTTTATGGAGCCCATTGCAGAATATTTACTGACCATCAAAGTTTGAAATATATCTTCACCCAAAAAGAATTGAATTTAAGACAAAGAAGATGGTTAGAATTGGTGAAGGATTATGATCTTGAAATTGTGTATCATGAAGGCAAAGCAAATGTTGTAGCCGATGCCTTAAGTCGAAAACCAAGGCATAACTTGGGCTTCATGTCAGTTGCTGATGAACTGTGCCAAGATTTAGCGCGGATGGAAATTGAGGTACTTGGACGGGGTATGACTCGGGGATATTTGCAAATGATACAAGTTGAGCCTGAAATTTATGATCGCATTAGAGCGGCTCAAATGGAAGATAATAAAATGGTTGAGCTTGCAGTGAAAGTTCAGTACGGTCAGACTCAAAATTTTAATATTGCTCCAGATGGGAGTCTTCGATTTCACGGGAGGTGGTGTATCCCAAAGGATCGAAATGATTTGAAAGAGCAGATTATGAGTGAGGCTCATAATACACCATACTCAGTGCATCCGGGGGGAAATAAAATGTATCATGACCTACGTCAACATTTTTGGTGGAAGGGCATGAAGAAGGATGTAGCCAAATTTGTTGCACGATGTTTAAATTGTCAAAAGGTAAAAGCAGAACATCATAGACCAATGGGGTTGCTACAACCTTTAGAAGTTCCACTCTGGAAATGGGATTCTATCGCAATGGATTTTGTAACAGGACTTCCAAGGTCAAAGTCGGGAACAGATGCAATTTGGGTAATTATGGACAGATTGACCAAGTCAGCAGTGTTCATTCCAGTACGTATGACTTGGAGTATGCAGAAATTGGCCAAATTATATGTTCATTATGTGGTTAAACGACACGGTATTCCTGAGGTGATCATATCAGATCGTGATCCACGTTTTCAATCTCGATTTTGGCAAAAATTGCAGGAAGCCTTTGGTACTCAGTTGCATATGAGTACTGCATTCCATCCTATGACTGATGGTCAGTCAGAAAGAACTATCCGTATTCTGGAAGATATGCTAAGAGCTTGTGCTATGGAATTTCAAGGGAGTTGGGAAGACCACTTGGATTTAGTGGAATTTTCATATAATAATAGCCATCAAGCAAGTATCGGAATGGCTCCTTTTGAAGCTCTTTATGGTCGAAAATGCAGAACTCCTTTGAGTTGGGACGATATGAGTGATCGACTGATACTGGGTCCGGAAATGATTGAGGAATCGAAAAATAAGATTCGAATTATCAGAGAAAAGATGAAGGCAGCTCAAGATCGTCAAAAGAGTTATGCCGATAGAGCCCGACGTGAGGGTCAATTTCAAAGTGGAGATTTTGTCTTATTGAAAGTATCCCCAATGAAAGGTATTAGAAGGTTTGGGATTAAAGGAAAATTGAGTCCGCGTTATGTTGGACCTTATGAAATTGTCGATCGAGTTGGTGATTGGGCCTATCGGTTGGCACTTCCAAATTCTATGGAGCGTATCCATAATGTGTTTCATATATCTCAGCTTCGTAGGTATGTTGCAGATCCTTCTCATATTTTATCTCCAGATGAGATAGAGCTGAATGAAGATCTTTCGTATGAAGAAAAGCCTCTGTGGATCATGGACACAAAGGTCCGAACCATGAGGAATCGAGATATTCGTATGGTGAAAGTAATGTGGTCCAGACATGGAGCGGAAGAGGCCACGTGGGAAGTAGAACAAGAAATGTTCAAGGCATACCTACAATTGTTTAATTAAGTTGCCTTGTTATGTGTTTGAGTTTAGATTTCGGGGACGAAATCTTTTTAAGGGGGAGTGGATTGTAATGCCCCGATTTCGGAATGTATAAAATAATATTATTATAGCAAATAAATATTTGACAATAGTAATGGAATCAAGAAATTAATATTTTGGGATAAATTTTATTCCTATTTTATATATTGATTATGATTGAAAAGACTGTTAAACGGATAAATATCGATAAAGATAAATATAAAATATATAATAATAATAATAATAATAATAAAGGTAATGATGATGAAGATAATAATAATAATAATAATAATAATAATATATATAATAATATAATTATATATATATATATGAAACCAAACCAAACCAACCTGTGAAGGAAGGCCGAAGCAGAAGAACGCGAAGGAGAAAGAAGAGAAAGAAGAAAAGAAGAAAGAAAAGATTTAGCCGTTCGATTTCGATTCCGATTTCGGTATTGTATTCCTTGTTATACGTAGAATTTAATTATGGATTTTAATATGAATTTCAATATTGGAAATATTAAATTAGAAATTCTTTAAAAAATTCATAACCGGCTATTTGGCTATTTTATCGACGAATTTCTTTAGCTAATAGCCTATTCGTAGTCCTAGTATTATATTCTGAGAATTTCATATCGATCCGAGCTGAATTGAAAACGGCAGTATATCGCACCTGCCTGCTTGTTCATACCTTTGCGTATTTTTATTTAATAATCGGGCAATATAAATATTATGAGGTAGAAGGATTTTATAGCTAGAATATCATATTCTACTAAATATAAAAGTTTGGAGCCCGACGAGTTAATTATAGAAATTAGCTTTTGAATAAGCAGGTAGCTCTTGAGAATAAGCATAAAGCTCATCTGATTTGAGTAAATAATGGGACAGGTGTACGTTGGAGGAGATTTGGGTGAAGTTATAAAATCCAGAAAGTATCGGTAGGAGGTAAGCAGTAGGGAATTAAATCTAATTTTAAGAAATTAGGTATTTATGTTGCATGTGATTCTGATTCTGATATTGATATGATATTATGTGGAATCATTTGGTCAGTGCATCTATATATGTATATATGTGTGTGTATATGCATGTGTGAAACTTCGTTTTACGATATTTGATATACGTATTTGATCGTGTTGGTGAATTTATAAAAAGGAGGATAGGTGGGCCGTCTCACCAGCCCTTTTCATTAAATTCACTTATTGACATGCTGCACACATCGCACGATTTATCGGATATGTTTTATGGATCTATCGTTTAATCGCCGTGTGCGGTAGTGCTAGGCGAGGGCATCATCTGGGGTTAGGATATTCGACCCCGATGTACCGTAACACTTTGGCGATAGTGGACGATAGTAGTCGGACAACTGGGTGACTTAGTCGCACGGTCATTCAGGGATTAGACCCATTGCAGTTGAGACGTATTTGGTCTAATAATTCGTGTTCGGTGTTGTTCCACTCATTGGAGTAGCTACTAGTGAGGTCTACCGGTAGTTTAGGATCAGATGCCAAACTCCAAACGCGATCCCGTTAGGGCGTGCGAGGAGGAGTAGAGTTTCCGGGTTTCCTTCGGGTGATTCCAGGTTGCACGGATTCTACTACGTTACACGGGGTAGGGCTAGACAGGAGGGTCCTATCTTCGCTATCACAGACTATGGGGTGTCTTGTGGTTAATGGCGACAACGCTCGACTATCCATGTATTGATTGCGGGAGTCGTATGGTGGGTATATGGGAGTGACCGGGTGACCGTTATATTATTATGGGTTTACCAGGTCCTTCCTTGAGCCGAGGATTTTCCGGCTATTTATTGATGATAGTCTAGTGAGCTGTTATTATGGAGCCGAGGTTATTCCGGCTGCTCACTTTGACATATGTATATGGGTATATGTGCATGAGTTGTCGATTTTGACATTATTGTTACATTATTTCAGTATGGGCATGGCATGGCATTTATTTTGCAAATGACGGAAATTAAACTCTATTTTCGAGCATGACATGGCATATTTTATGTTAGTTCTTAAAATGGATTTAATTCTAGACTGCTTTTAAGAAAAATATTTGATTCAGGTACGCATGGCACCTCCGGGACAGGGGACGTCTCGGGAGATAGAAAGACGGGCTGAATGAGTGAACTGCATCTGATGTATTATATGTAAATTCTAACTAGAAAAACCTCCCGTTTTGGGAGTATGTTTTTGTAAATATTTATAAACTTGTTTTTTTGGGAATAATAAAATGCTTATATAATTAATTTTAGCCTTAACAGTGTGTTGTGGGGCCCGAAGTAGGAGGTGACGACCTCATGATGCAGTGTGGCGGTAGCATTTCCAGTACGAGCCAACTGGGGGTGTTACAAATGTGATCTAAGTATGTTATTTGTTTACTGGTCCAAGCTTAATGAGATCTTTAATTACTTAAAAATAATGTGAAAGAAGAACATTTAACAAATATTGAGTAAGTAACAAAATACATAAATGCATACTCTCACTAGAGTGAAACTTCCTCAAATTGCAACACACCCATCACTACAAAAAAAATAGTATATTTGTAACGGAATTCCGTTCCTAAAGTTCACGTAGCTAACGTAATTTCATCTCTAATTCCGTCGCTAATATAATTAGTAAGGAAAAAAGTGAATTTAGAAACGAAAAAATATCGTTACAAAATTGATATTTTCTTGTAGTGCATATAAGCAGTATACTCATGAAAGACCTTAGGTGTTACACCTTTAGTCAGGGGATATGTTAACATAGATTTTAACTCTAAATGCTCGATTGAAATCTAATCACCTTTTACTATCTCCTTCACAACTCCTATTGTTATTGGACTACTCAACAACTAATTGTTTTCACATAAAATCTTGATATATTTTTCAACCGTTGGAATAATTCGCAATCCTATGCAAGATCGTTTAGCCAAATTAACTGTTGTGATGCCTCAAAACACGCTACGAACTTAGCTTTCATTGTAAAAAAATGATAACGAGTGTTTGTTTGAACTACGCTAAAAGCTGACCGTACCAACCAACGTATAAACATAACAAGACGTAGATTTTCTACTATCTTGACATCACACAAAATCAGAGTCAGACTATCCAATGATCTCCAAATGTTCAGATCTCCTATATACGAACATATGATCTTTAGTTCTCTTCAGGTAAATCATCACCCTTTTGACTGTCTTCCAATGATCCAATCTAGAATTACTAAAGTATATGCCTAACACACAAACTATATATGCAATATCTCGATGCATACATACTTGTGCATACATAAGATTCCCAACTACCGAGACATAGGAGATCTTTTCCATTTCCTAGATTTCCAGATTTACTTTGGGGCACTGGATGGACTTAATTTATCTCACTTAGCTACCGTGGTATTTTCAAGTATGTGGTTCTACATGCCAAATTGTTCGAGTACAATATTGATATAGAAATTTTCAGATAACCTAAGAATATATTGAGATCTATTACGATATATTTGGATTCCTAACACACAAAAAATACTTCACCAAAATCTTTCATTTCAAAGTTATTCAAAAGATTTTTTACTTAGTTTCGTGAAATATGCACATATCATTTGTAGCAAGCAAAATATTGTCAACATACAAAATCATGAAAGTAACTTTGCTTCCACTGAATTTGTGATAAACACAATCATCAGCCTATTCATCTCAAAACCATATATGAGAATTACTTTGTGAAATTCGTGATACCACTGTCGAGATACTTGTTTAAACTCATAGATGGGTTTTCTTAATTTACAATAATTTGATTTGGGTCATTGAGCTAAAAAATTTCTAGTTGTACCATACAAATAGTTTTATCATTGTCTCAATTGAGAAACGACATATTTACATCAATTTGATGGAGTTCCAAATCAAAGTGTATCACTAAAGCCATGATTGTCCTAAAAGAGTCATTCAAAGAAATTTGAGAAAATATATGTTTATAGTCAATCTCCTTTTTATTAGTATAGCCTTTATCAAAAAAAAAAAAAGTACATTATATGACGACGTCCAATATTCAAGGATTCAAATGCCCGTGGAACCCATCACACGAAGTCGAGCCCGTCAGTTTCAAGAATCCATCACTGCATTGACGGGAAATTTTTAATGAAGAATCAATTTAAGGATGATATTTGGAGACCACTTAGGCCTCACCTAACACTCCTTCAATGGGACCCGCAAGAATCCCAAATGAAAGATCAAGAGAATCGTTAATCATAGAAGATTATGAAGGGAATCATCACTTATGGAGGCTTCTAGAAGTTAACTTAATATATATTTTCTTTTATTATAAGTTTCCATATAGGGTGTGTTTGTTTGAGGGATTTTGCCAAAAATCCACTATTCATCCCAAAATTTACCCAAAAAAAAATTACATCAAATACCTACTTTTATTTTTTATATTATTCTAAAAATCAATTTTACATTCAAAACATCATATCAACACCTATTTATATCACATCATACAACTATTCAAATTTAAAATTTTTACTATTCAAATCCCAACTCAAAATCAAAACCTCCGAACAAACACACCCATAGTATAATTTCATATCTAAAACTTTCGTAATTATTTATTTCCTTATAGTTAGACTTATCTTTTGGTTTGTTTTCTTTATTATTTGTTGCATTTTATTTTCCTCAAGGATCTCTATATAAGGTCTTTGTCTATCATTGTAAATGGAACTTTTTACATCTTGAATCAAATTTCACTTTAATAATTTTATAGTGTTAGGGACTTTAAGGCAAAACATTAAAGACTGCCCCGTTATCGATAAATACTTTACTGATCGCTTACCGCAAATATGAGAATTGATATAAAGGGGCTTCAGATGAGGAACCGTCCCTTCAGGAAGAGGAGAAAAAATCATCGGTGGGGGAGTATCCGTTGATAAATCCGGATTTGTTATCCTTGCCCATTCAGGCTCTTCTAAATACTCATTCGCCAAATTAGCTCAAATTGGCTCCTACCAAATCGGCCCCTCTTGTTGCCAGTGCATTCTTGACATCTCAACCTCCAAAGATATCACTTGATGACATGGTTTGCTTGATTTTTCATAAGTGACTGAATCTCAGTCGATGAGAATGACCCAAACTGAATTTTTTGGCAATCTTCGTTGATCTTCTTTATGACTGGATCTATATTAACTCGATTACAGTACCGACACATGTAACACTTTTCTTCCTTACTAGGCATTTCTTTATTTTCTTTCTGAATGGTTCTGTAATCTGTTACAGTATCCAAAGATACCCGAATCCGAGTTCAGACCTCGACGTAAAAAACCTTTTATTGGTAGCATGACGACCATGCGTAGCAGCATACTTAGTTTAGCATTACGAATTTGAGTACGATTCATACCTGGGAATCAAGGATCAATATAGACTAGCAATGACTTTCTATTTTGACTCTATTTTCTGTTGACTGAGCAAGACTTCCTAGTTGGCCGATCTTGAACTAACACCCGGTCTTTAAGTTCCACCTCATAAGTTGTGTCACGACGGTCCCATTTTTCTACAACACGGTCTTCACACAACTTGAATTTTCCCTTTTAGTTTTCTTCTGGGCGTGCTCCCTTCTTTAATCCCTTGTTTGGGACAACCTCTATTGTGGCCACTGTCACCTTTGGAAAATGTTAATTTTCCACTCGCAGCATGACATATTTGAAACGTCCGGCTTTAATGGCCCTTTGGATTTCTTTCCAAAAATGCGTACATTGACCTGTATTGTGGGTAAATGAATTGTGTCATTTGCAATACGGTCTTCCTTTGATCTCTTCTTTTGTTGTTAGTCGTTGGCGTTTAGGAATCTAGATTTGTCTATCCGTTAGTAAAATATCAAAGATCTCGTCTGCTTTAGAGTTTTCGAATGTTGGTTGGTCCTTTCATTCTGTTCTTGGAAATGGTTTCAAATTAGGGCAGACATACGGCTTTCCACTGACTATTTCTGTGGGCCATTTCTTCCACTTCCACCACCGAGTCCATATCTAGGGCATGTGATTCTATTTCTATGCTGGCCATCTACTGTACCTTGTTGCGCCGAAAGTTCTGATATTTATCTCTGAACAACGATTATAAACGTCCAGCCTTAGATGCTAGACTGACCAGATCATCAACATTGTGGGCGGTTAGCGCCTCACGTAACCGGACATGCATATTTCGGACCACGAGATTGGCCATTTTTTTCTCATCTATCACAGTCGAGCACCTACCCTTCATTAGATGAATCTTTTATAGAAACCGTGCAGAAGATTCTTCTAGCATCTGTCTAATTTCCAACAAATTAGTCAAAGACACCGTTGGAACAAGGTTAAAGAACCTGGCATAAAAACCTGTTTCCAACCATTTCCAAGTATGTGTCTGCTCCGGTGGTAAATTGAAAAACCAAGAAAATGCCATCCTGGTCAAAGATAAACCAAACAAATGTAGTTTACAAAATAGTTGTTGTCAATTTTTCCCAATTGAGCCGTGAAACGACCTACGTGCTCTATAATAGACGAACCATCATCTTCCAAAAATGTGTGAAAACCAGATGGCCGATAATTCTTAGAAAGAGGATGTTCACTGATAATCATTTTTTGGAATGGTCGTTGATATACGGGTCGGTCGTCAATCTGAGGATTCATGTCAAAATGGACCCTCAAGACGTGTGCGACATCTTCTGGGTCCATTATGAATGGATAGTGGTCTGGCAACGGGATGGGATAATGTGCTTGACCCCTTAGTCGTTCCTCTCTCTATAAATTTGCAAAAGGATCAGTCCTTGCTCCTAGAGGAATATTATTAGGATAGGTAAGGGGTTTTTCCTCTTTTCGTCCTATTAGGGGCGGTAGCATTTGAAATGGTATTATCCACAAAAGATGGCCCTGCAAATTCATCTGTAGCCGGGAAGGAGACATTCTTGGAGACGTACGCACGGAATGCAAGGTGACCCTCGAAAGAGCCTGATCCAACATATTATGCATTAAGCTTTGTTGATTGTGCAACATTGTCTGCATGGCTGTTGTTTGCTAATTATTCATTTGTTGAACATACATTAACCATTCTACTGGTACTTGTGCTGGTGTATGAGAAACCCCCATTGTGGTCGGGATAGGCAATGTAGTCGTTGTGGTTGCTTCGATGGCCGAGTTGAGACTCTGGGACTGGAAACCTGCCATTAGATTCCTTGCAACAATTCGACCGGATCGGAGTTGTATATGGTTTTCATCGGACGTATGATCAACAATTTTTCCTCGGCTCCCGTGGTCGTCAATTTGTTAATGTAGAAATTTAACGATAAAAAGTAAAATTTAAATATATATTTCGAATTTGAAAAGGGGTCAGAGATCACGGATCCCTAAAACAAAGTACATAAAAAGCTAGTAAATGAAAATATATGAATAACTGAGAATGTAAAAGAGTGATCTCAAATAAAACTTTTCATGGGATGATTGAAGATCCCATTTCTTATGTCTTCATTGCTGATAAAAACACACATCCAAACTTTTTGGAACCGTCATAACATCGGTTACCTGTTTCAAACTCTTGATGTTGACACGTAGTCACTTAAAACTGCTACCGTCCAAAGAATGGCGTCGGTTAGTCCCTCAATCAATTAACCGTCTAACCAATTGTCACTCTTTGTGGGCCCTTCCAACATTCCAACGACCGACCTGTCCAATCCAAAACTCAACCGGGCCCATTTCATTCTTGATCCATGGGCCGAAAAATCTAACCTTGAAATTTGAACTCAACAGTATCAATGTTTAAGAAAGAACTTTTTGAGGAGCTTTTAGTTTATTAAACAACTTTTAATTGTTTTACCAGTCAAAAAGCTAATTTATGTGTTTGATAAATTAATTTTTTGAAAGAGTTTTTTTAACCCAAAACTAAAAATGTTAATCTACCAAGCCTTTTAGAAGAATTTTTTTACTTTAATTTTGTTTATTCCTTATTTATCCTTAAAAATTATTTATTTATTTCATACATATAAATATATCTTTATTGTAGGATTTATTAATTATTTTTAATATATTTTATTTATTAAATTATAATTTTATTTTTGTAAATTTAAAATAATTACTCTTATTAATTATTATATACAAATTATTTTATTCGTAAAACATATAAATCTATCAAAATTATATCAAATACTAGAAAATAAAATATTATTAATTTACTTATATATTTTTTATTATATAAATTTTACATTAAAAATAAATAAATAATAATTAACATAATAAAAAATATATACAAAATATTTATTATTTTATATTTTATACAATTAATTTTTTTTTATCATATTATTGTAATTTTAAATAATTAATAACCAAAATTCTTAAAAATTTTAAACTAAAATGAAGAAAATTAAATATTTTCAAAAAATAACATTTAAATGTCTTTAATTATTAATTTACATATAAACAACTCATATCAAACAATTTTTTTACCAAATCAAAACATTTTTATACAAACAACTAATTGAATAAGTTACTAGCTAATTAAATAGCTGGTTACTACACGCTCCCCAAAATAATATTTATATACAAAAAATATCATAATTTTTTTTCAAAAAATATCAAATTATATAGTTTTATTACTTTAGATTATTTTATTTTCATTTATATAATAAATAAAAAATATCATAATTTTTTTTTCAAAAAATATAAAATTTTATAGTTTTATTACTTTAAATTATTTTATTTTCATTTATATAATATTAACTTAATATAAAATAATAGATATTTTATAAATAATAGCATCATATATAATATAATACTCGCTCCGTCAAAAGAGGAGTTTAGGGTTTGGCATTATATTAATAAATAATAATATTATATTGATCGGTGTGAGTACGTAAAATTTTTTGATATTTTTATAATTGATTTTATATAAAAAAATAAGTGTATGTATAATAATATATTTGTAATTTAAATAAAATTAAGATACTTTGGTACACATGTATCATTACTTTTATAATTAAAACAGATGAAGTATATTTTAAGTGAACTCCGTACAAAAAGTTGCACATCATTCAACAACGGTGAATATTTAGTTTGCAGAGTATTAGTTCGGCCAAAAATTTATCGACGGCATGTTCCCATATTAGAAAAAAAAAAAGAAAAAAGCATATATAGTTTAAGAAAGGTAAGTTCCTCCTTTGCTAGTTAGTACTAGGACCATCTCCAACCCATTCCTTCATTTTTGCAATAGCCAATTGTACAATAATTTTACTCCAATCATAAACTTCAATTTTTCACTTAAAAAATATTTTCCCTGTATATTTCTCTTTTATATTATTTTATATAATTACACATTATTTTTAAAAAACTATATAATTATATATCATTTTTCGAAAGGTAAAATTATATATCACTTTTAAAAAAATATGATTATACATGATTTTTAAAAAATAAAATTATATTACTTTTCTATATATATATATATATAATACAAACAGAAACACAAAGAAACAAACAGGGTTATCAGCTGCTGGATTATATCAACACTTTGTTCATAAATAAACAGCTAGCTAGCTAGCTCACACAGTATTCGGGCTGTGGCCGGAGAATCTCATCGGGCGGAAGGGACTAACGATCCGTTGGAAATGTCAGGGCTCTGTATCTCAAGAAAGCTTGTTAGAAGAGTTTTTCTCGAGGATTGTCCTCTCGAGCTCTCAGATGAATCTATCTTATCTGTTCCTTTCTCAATCTTGACGGCATCCTGTATTGCCACTATAATCTCTTGCATTCTTGGCCGGGAGTAGCTATGCTGTTCCACACATTGTATTGCTACTTCTGCTATTCTCCAAATCGACTCTACTTTCACTGATCCTACCAGCGTAGGATCGATGATGCTGACCACATCTCCTTTGCGGATCAGTGACCTTGCCTGTGGAAGAACACAACTAATTCTCATTAATTCATTTCATGTTCCCTAGAATGATACTAGATATCTAAGCATACCCAATGAACAATGCTCCAGTCGGAACCAAATTCCTCTGTCGAGACGGGCTTTCTCCCTGAAATGAGTTCCAGGAGAACCACCCCGAAACTATATACATCACTTTTTTCAGTCAGTTGTTGGTTTGCATAATACCTGGTAGGAGATGGAGGAGATCAGTTTCTACTATATCACTCGGTGCAAGAAAAAAATTTGCTTATGGCTTACTCAGGGTCGAGATAGCCCACGGTTCCTCTTGCTACACTTGATACGTGTGTAAGATCTTCTTCAGCTTGTCTTGATAGGCCAAAGTCTGAAACTTTTGCTCTCATGTTTATATCAAGGAGGATGTTGCTTGTTTTCACATCACGGTGAATGATACTCGGATTACACCCTGTGTGCAAGTACTCCAGACCTGCACTTTTCAATTCTTACAAATTTATGTAATGAAATACTTTGACAATGGCGCAAGAGAATTCTTTTTGCCCACCTTTAGCTGCATCTTCAGCAATATGAAGCCGTGTTGACCAGTCCAAGTGTTTATGGTTTTGAGAATCTGTCAAAATGTTTTTTTGTTAGCTTCTCATCCTTTTAGGAAGATGTAAGCTTGGAACTTTGTTGCAGTATCCTAACCGTGTATGTGGTCGCGTAAGGTTCCATTATGCATGTACTCGTAGACAAGCATGCGCTGATGCTCTTCCTCACAATACCCAATTAGAGGAACCAAATTCCTGTGATGGATCCTGGACAACAGTGCAACCTGTAGGTACATATCCCGGGTTAATTCTCATAACCGCGACACATTATGACATTACGACATACAATGTCTGATACAGAATATTCATCTTTGTCCATAACTGTAAAAGTTTCTATCCTAGATTCTTGACAATAGAACATCAACTATTTACAAAATACAAATTCAAAGATCAGTTCAGCATCAAGGCTACCTCACTGCTTATACTATGGCTATGATTTAATTCAATAGTTCTCAAAAACATCGGTAGTTTATGAGGACTTGTTACTTAGGTGTAAAACAAAAGCGTGAAGAAAGTTGGAATGTGTGTGGTGCAGCTTACAAGTACCTCAGTGAAAAATTGTTTAGTCCCATGGCTGGATGAGTCAGCCATGATTTTCACGGCAATCTCCTTTCCGTCCTTCATTTTCCCATAATAAACTGGTCCAAAACTTCCTTTTCCAATTTGCTTTGAAAAGTTGTTTGTTGCTTCTTCTATATCTGGAATTGGAATGTAGTATGCTACCCCCTCATCCATTAAAGACCCCCCTCGTGCAATCGAATGTGCAGCCAGAGGCTTGGTGTTGGTGCGCCGTGAACTACCTGAATGAGAAATGGTGTGCTTTTGAATTGGTTGGCCTTTAGGAAAGTATAAAATATGTTGGTATAATAGTGCAAGAACCGATACCTTTTTCATTCCTATGTAAACTTGACTTCGCCCTTGCTCGATAAAGCAAGATTATGCTTAATATGGATAGAACGAAAAGAACAGCCACCACAGCCACTGAAGTTCCAATCACTAATTTGTTAGGTGCTTTTTGCACTTGTCTAAGATGAGGATTACCATCATATCTGCAAAAGAGAAGTATAATATTGGACATGTCATTTACTACATTTCCTCAGATTTGTTAGTTAATGTCATTCCATATTGTGTCAATAATGCAGCGTTTCTTTTCAATGTAAAAAATCAGATTATGTTTCTTTTTCGAAGAACCTATCTGTTTCGATTAGAAGATCATCAGCAGACTCACCTAAAAGTGAAGTTTCCTTTCAACAACGATGGCCGTATTTTCCCACTAAAAGAGTTGTTTTGTATATACCTGCCAACATGTGCAGTCATATGTAGCCATCAATATACACTCAGGTATCATAATTTGCAACTTCAACTTAAATTTCCAGGGACACTTATCAACATGATTTACGAATATTTAAGGATATAATGCATCTTATCCCGAACAAAACTTTTTATTTTTTCTCATGGTTACTTACAGCTCTCGCAGTTGCAGCAGGTTACCGAGGAAGGAAGGGACTGGACCAGTCAGTTGGTTGTTCTCTAGATGCCTGCGTACCTCAGACAATATCAGCCAGGAATAGTGGCATAAAAAGCTTGTATTGAAGAATGCCGAGCTTACAGTATTTCCAAATTGACAAGGTTACTCAAGTCAGGAATTGGCCCGCTGAATGAGTTTCCATCTAGCCACCTACGGAAGTGAAGACCATCATCACATTGATTCTTCTGATGGATAAATCAGATTATGGCAAGTTCTAACTCTTGGTACGATCAATCTTACAGTTCCGTCAATCCTTCCATGTTCTGAATCTCCTGTGGGATTTCACCCTTTATGTTCTTACCTGACAGAAAACTGTTCGAAGGAGGTAAGCGCAAATGTTTCCGTCTAGTATTTATAAAAACAACATCCTAACATTAACATGATACTAAGGGCCTTTACACAGGCTTCCTTAGCTAACAATATAGCTCCTCTGTTTTACACTAAAAAACTATAAGATTCAATTTCTTGATAGCATTTCTGACCCTGCAATGCTTGCTACATGATCATATGGGGGCACAAATTTGAATACAAATAAGAATTCCTATGAATTGAGAGTGAACATGATGAATACATCAAGCATGATCAAACAAACTTTTTCTCATCGATACTTACATCTTGTTGATTCTTGGTGGAGTGGTAGAGCTGCAAGAAACCCACTCCCAAGTCGTAGGCACGCAAGGATCGCCACCTTCTGTTGCCCATTCACTTTGCTGTGAAGTTAAAACTAGAGACCTGAGGCTGCTCACTTCCATGTAATCCAAAAATGAACTTTTAAGTAAGGTCGCCAAAGATGTAACACTTGTCGTCCTATACACAGCAATAGATACTAATCATATACATACCATCTCTCGGATCTGTCTTGGCAGCAATCTCCACATATCTGCTAATTTCCATTGCATTCAGAAGTGGTCCTTGAGTAGAATCCCGGGTTTTCACAAACGAGAATGTCAAGACAAAATCCAGAGTTACATTCATGTAGCTAGGCTCATACAGCGTGTAACTTCCATTGGCATTCTCTGCTATGTTCACCACTGCATTACTATAGTCAGGCATGTATGGCTGATCCATTTTAAATTTCCTCGTTTCGTTTGCTGGTAGATCTTCGATTTCGGCGAAGTAGGCGAAAGCTCGGGCATTAGCTGGGAAATCCTCAAGGTTTAACCTGTAGCTGAGGATTCCCTGAGTACCAACAACTGCTGTTTGCATAACTTTTACAGGAGGGTATTCTCTGGTGCTCACATCAACGTTCTTGGTAGTGTTGATTCTTAGTGTCCCCGGAGCCACGCCGACCAGGAAGTTAGGCCTTCGAGCTTGATCGGATTCCCATATTCGATCATATGGATCATCAGGATACCTGGAACAAAACCAACCAATTATACCAATTTTCTGTAATTCATTCATTCATTGATACGAACACACAAACCTTATAGCATCTTGGGTGGGAGCCCCAAAATTGATTCGCTCTGCAACCTTCAAATAGAAATCATCCTCGTAATCAGTGGCGTACATGGAGAGGTTCAATGGCCGCATCTCGAGCGTGGATATGAAGGGGGAGCCGGTGGTGGCGCAGCACAAGCAGACGTCGATGGAATGCGACGGAGACGGCGGCGCTCTAATGATCATTTCCTTGACATAAACCCTCGAGGCTTCCATGACTGTGACCGTCGACCATTTTGTAGCGTCCAGATATATCTGAAACTTGGGATACGTCCCTTCGCTCACGGAGTTCCCGTAGAGAAACGTGGCCCGGACAATATAGCGCCTTCGCTCCGATGTGGTGAGCTTGTAGCAGTACTTTTTGCCGTCTATGGGGAAATCTCTCCTAGTTTGATACTGCTGTGAGTTCCCGTATGCGTTTTCCACTCTCACTGATTTGCCTTGCGCTATGATTCCGGTATCCGTACGCCATTCCAAACCAGTGGTATTATCTGTGTAATTTGTCGCTCCTCCACAGTCTATGCTGATGAATTCTGCACATGCGGTTTTACATTTGACATCCTCAGCTAAGTTAAATTGTGTGAGCAGAGACATGGATTATCGTCCTGATCTGAGTGAAGCTATTCTTTGTTTTAAAGGAAACAGAAGCAGAAGCAGAAGAAGAAGTACTGACCTGAAACTTGGCAGCAAATTGATGGAATTAAGCAAAGAAATGCAAGCAAGGAGAGGGAGACAAAACCCATTCTATTCTGGGATGGGTTTTGGTTGGAAATTCTTGTCCTGTCCTGTGTCTGTGTGCTTGAGCTCTGCACCGCAGCAGGGTCATGGAAGGAAGAGAGCGAAAGTGTGTGTGTAGCTGATGAGACGAGACGAGTAAATATTCTCTCTTCACTCACTCATTCACTCACAAGCCCAACAGCTGAAACAAGATTCTCTCAATTTGATTTTGAAATTGAAAGAGATGGCCGGGTGGGCTCTCTCTCTTTCTCTCTCTCTCTCTCTATACTGCAAATTGCCAATCCATAGCCATAAGTACCTTTATTATTTTGCTTTGCGTTGCTTTATTGCTTTTAAGCTTTTCTTCTTGTTTCTTTAACTCAAATACTTAATGGAGTAGTAATTGGAATGATTCCCTTTTCCTGTGGGTTTCCTTTCGTATACCATTGGAGGGTCCGATGGAGAATATTTGTGAGAAATGCCAATTGACATGAATGATTGGAGCTGAGCTATTATTCATTCACTGCTCTACTCTCCTCATACCAGGAGTTTTCTTCTTTTCACACGCACAGATTCATTCCGTCTCTTAATTACTCCTTCCATCCTCCCAACAATAATTATATATTTATTTTTTTACGCATATTTTAAAAAATAATAGTATTTTAACTATTGTGTGTCCGTAAAAATAGTATAATAATATTTTTACCTTTACTTTTTATAATAATGTGATGAAAAGTAAGAGTATTTGTAAAAAAAAATAAAGTATGATAATTTATAATTCAACTTTCCAAAATAGAATTATGTATATTTTTTTTTATGAATACTTTATTTTGACTCATAAAAAAATGTTATATATAAATATAAATACTAAAATATGAAAGAAGTATAATTAATAAAATAAAAAATTATATTAATAAAAATAATTATATACTATTAAAATTAAAATAATTAAATAATTTAATTAAAATTAAAATTAATTATAAATTTTAAAATATATAATTATTTATTTAAAAAAAATAACAAATTAAGTAAGATAAATATAAAAAAATAAATAAATAAAAATGCGGAAGTGAAAATTAATGTATAATAATAATAATATCCTAAATGCCATAACCCATGACAATAAAAACAATTTTATACGTTGGCTGGCAGTGGCAGTGGCAGTAGCATCCACGAAAAAGGAAGAGGTGCCATGCAAAAGTACTTTGCAGACAGTACCACCTTTTTCCTTTTTCTTTTTAAATTATATATATATATATGCACTCCTTAGCCTTCAGCCTTATACTAAAGGGCAATTTTGGTTAAAATTTTTGTTAAACATATTTAGCTTCAGTTTTTTCCGATTTTAAGAAGACATTGCACTTTTTTATTTTTTTTATTTTTATTTATATTTAGCTCAATATTATTCATTTTACCTTGAAATCTCAATATAATCTACTGAATATTTTATGTATTTTTTTTTTATTTTATATAAATATATGTTATCTAATTGCGTACTCTAAGTAACGTGCCAAAATTTTTTATTAATATACTCAATCAATAATTTAAACTTCAAAATACAAGAAAATTCCGATCAAATCCACAATTTCACCTTGTGAATGAGTTTATTTCTTTCAAATCATTTCCTTTCCACCCGGTTTGTCACTTCTGAAACATCCCGCCAAAGTAATCACCACCGAACCTCCCCGTAGAAACCTTCGATGTCGCTGGAAGTCTTCCATCACTTCTAAAATCTTTGATTTCGCTCGACATATCTAAAAAGACTTTCTCCCCAAAGTAGAGATCGAAAAAATAGGTTAAATTTTATATTTTTGGTAGAATCGATATATTAAATTTTTAACTTTGAATTTTTAGTATGCTCGAATCTATTTTGTTTATGTCTCATTTGGGTTTGTATAAGTCTCGGTGTCGGGTCATTTTACATTGGCTTTGTTTCGCAATATCGGGTGAAATATAAATTATTTTGATGTGTTTGAAATTGTAAATAACCATGTTGTCCATAAAAGTACCTTAATTTGCATTTGTGTAGATTTATATTTATAGTAAAATGATTGAGACATGAAGCGGGAGGTTTTCTTTTATTTATTTTTTCAAATACCGTGACAAAATTTTCTCTTATGGAGTGATTATTTAAGTACTTAAGGTGTTGTGCGATGTCTCTATCATAGTGTTAGTTGTAGATTTATCTATTTTTTCGATTAGTGAAAAATTGTTCATTTTTATTTATTGTTTGTGAGTGCCTCAAATTGCATTTGGTGTGCCGTAATTGTTAATTTGCATGTCTCAACTAAAATATTACTTACCTCCGTAATTATGTCATAAACTTGTATTGGTGTTGGATATACTCATAAAGATTTGTCTTTGTTTGAAATGATGGTAGACCCGAAAAAGGATACAAATGGCTTATATTCAAATTTGTTATACATTTCTTCTATACAAAAATGGCTAAACCAAAAGTTAGGATGAACGATTTGAATTGGTGTTATGTATACACTCATCTTTGTTTTAAATCGATTTGTACGAGATAATATTCAGTATTTTTCATCATTATTGTTTATTTTATTTTATCTATTCAATCCTACTATTTGAATTGGTGTTATATATATACTCATCTTTGTTTTAAATGTTTATAGACCTAAGGTGAGAGTCTCAACTATGGGCCACTAGTATGTATATTCGTCGAGAGCTCTGTTTTATGCAACACGGAAACTTACCCGCCTAAATGATAAGTTGTCGAATTCAACGATGTTATGACATATTGAGCGAAAATTGTTGTAAAGATTTTATCGGAAGCCCTTGAGGGATTGCCTAGTGTCATTGAATCATAATTGTATGTTAATTGTTATGCATGAATTGAAAACAATTGAAATTTGAACCAGGTGGTTGTCAAATTTGAGTAGGTATGTTTTGCCAAATATTTTCAGGATTATTTTAGTGTTTAATTTAAGATAAGATATATAAGGCTCTCCTTAAGTATGAACTTTCGTAGTAAAGGTACGTGCCTGCGAATTAAGAAATATAATTTAGTTTGCAAAATTTTGTGGTTGGGTGTCGAAAAACCCCTAAGTTTGAGTAACATACCCCTAATGAAGGCATACGTTCCTTCATTTAACTAATTTACATACTTCAAATATGATTACATGTACTCCTATTGATGAATGAATTTTATAAATAACTAAATACATATTCGATATGTAGTGAAAAAATATTTATTCACCACACCTTTCTGAAAGCACTAATGGACACATTTTATGTACACATCAATGAAAAATGTTTGCTTATAGTGTGAGTAGCCTTAATATGCCGCATGCGTAATATTTATTTTATATACATTCTAATACATTTGTTCGTTGGAGATATTTTTCTAGTCTACAAAATACTGACATTGACAAAGCCAATAAAAAGTTTAAGGACCGAGATATATCTCATCGATTATCCACTAACTCATCACTATCACTTACCATGATCCACAACATCATATGTTATGTAAAATTTAATTCAACTCATAGTCGTCTAATATAGCCAAAATCAATAAAATAATTTTGGTAGACGTTTAAATACCCACAAGGGAATATATATACAGTTATAGGCAACGACAAAGCCTATTTATTAGACACGTACACCTCTCATCAAATTCAATATACCTCAGGTATATAAATTTATACTCTTAAAATTATTATTAGAACTTCATATAATAGTTTAATTACCCATATTAACCAATGCAATTTATGTTATAAATTCACATAGACGGATGAAGGTTTTTATAGATTGTGTAATATTAATACGATTACTTGAGAGACACAAATGATACCAAACACTATTTGAATTTTATAATTAAATATCCATGTAGAATGAAATATATGGCTGGTTATATTTCATATACCTACAATGACTTTTAATGTACTACATTGATTTTTTTATTTTATTATTTTTTTTTTTTGCAATTTGAAAATTTTATTTTGGGCTGCTAAATACCTCATAATATATCATTATCCTGCAATTTACCACAAATGTACCTATGCAAATTATTTGTCTATACCCGATAAAAATATAAGTATTGTCCAATTTCAAATTAATTAAATAGTGGATTTGTACAAAGATTTGCGTTTTGTATACAATATATCAAAAATAAAATATATATAAATTTACTTTCCTGTTTCAAGAATAATTTCTCTCTCATTTTCAAAAAAATCATTTTCAATTTTTATCATTTTAGACAAACATATGTGGCAATAAAATTTGAACATTATCAAATATATAAGTATATAAAAAAATATCAGGATTCATCAATAATTAGTCATAGTATATCTCAACAATACAACGGTATTTGCAAACAAAAGGAACATATAATATTATATAACACGAGTATACGAATAATAAGTGTAGAGATACTATATTAGAAACAAGGTGCTTGTGTCATTATTGACAAATATTTTGTTGTTCTTTTTCACTGCCACAGGTTTAGTCTAACTAGAGAGAATCATTCCATTTGGTTCATTCTTTTATCCCAGACGAATAAACATCGTAAACAAAAATACAATGTAATTAGCATAAATAAAATTTGAGTAAAACCCAAATTATTATTGAACCGATACAAAACTGAAATTAATCTTAAAGTTTATATCAAAATTTAATGGCTAAAATAATAACATACACATATTCTAACATTCAAATCGAGATAACCAAACAAATGACAAAATTAAATTTAAAGTGAGAAATTGAATCCACCAAAGACAAAATTAAGAAGCAACCATTCAGACACCAAAAAAAAAAAATCTAAAATACCCTCGCTGTGCAACTTCGTTTGTTGTGTTTTAGATGATCCTCATATTATGTCTATACCTACAAAAAAAATCCAATATCTCTAAAAACCACCTAAGAATATCCATGGATCACTATATATTATTTTGAAAAATACATTTAGTTATAATATTAGAAAATAGTGAAGACGAACAATTATGTTATCAATTTATATTTCGGATCGATGAGTTTTTTAAAATCAAACCTTGTAAGCAAATATATGAATTAATTAGCGGAAGCGAAATTCGAATATAACCTAAATTAATAACAATTCGAATCGAAATTAAAAATTAACAATAGAAATTATGCCAAAAAATATTTCTGAAAAAATTGGAAAAATATGAAAATCGAACAAACACATCCTCACCAAACAAACAACATCAATTTGAAATTTAGAAGCACACAAGAGAATTATATCTTCCATGTTTGTTGTCTTCTCCAAATTCAATCGAGAATGAAGATCTACTATATTATTTCTTTAATTTCTCTTCAGTCGACGACACCAACTCACGGCGGAGGA